CACGGAGTTTTCGTCCGTGGCATCCCAACAATTACTCCATTCACACACAGAAGAAGGCAATGGCAAACCACTTCTGGATCATCTGCCAAGAACGTATATGAACAGGTCCCAGTCCGAGAAAAGGATGGAAGGATCCTGTTCATATGGACCTGTCGTCAGACAGAACACTAAATAATAAATAACCTACAATGGGAGCTTGTTTCTTTGATCTTTCTCATAAATCATAGAAAATTTAACATAGAAATAATAAATATGGCAGTAATCAAAATACACACTCTTTTCCTTAATTGCCCAGACTGTCCATCAAACCATCAGAAGAATGAAATGTTTTTAATAAGAGACTAAGGTCTTAGTGAAAATTATTAGAGGTACATAGCAACTGCAGAAAAGGACAGTCATTTATAAACTAAGTATTTGTGCATAATTAAGCTAGTGGTCAGAAGAGAGTTCCAAAGATGAGAAAGGCCTCTAATAAAGTAACAACAACAAAACTCCTTGTTGTTTCAGAAGGCTAAAGAATTTAGAAAGATTTAAAAATTTAACAACATTCAAGCAAAAGAAATTAACTTTTTAATAAATGTCAAGTAATGTACTGATTAAAAAATAAATAAAAAAAGATACATATACAAGGAAAGAAACCAAATATTTATTCACTAAAGAGAACTTTTGAGAAAAAAGGTAAACCCAATTTAAGAGAACATACAGTATAAGACTCAAAAATTTGTACTTAATTACAATCCAAATAAGTACCTAAATGGTGAGACACTATTAAAAACAGGACTATAAAACCAGAGCAGGCCTCAGCCCAATCCATGGAGGGCAGAACAAGAAAAGAAAATACGTATACATGCGAGATATTTAAAAATGACACGAGACATGTTGTTCCTTCCACTTCAGCCCACGTACCTCGCACACAGTCCAAACATTCCTCCTATTGTTACAATCCACTGTGCCACAGGCCAGCCTATCTCAACAAACACCTTTGGAATTGGAGCATCAGGATCCTGCGTACAAAATATTATTACAAATTTACAGCGCAGGACTTAGATAATTAATTAATGACTTTTATCAACAGAATCTTGTAATATTAGTCTCCTGGGTGGACATGTAGGTAGATACCAGAATTTTTGAGGAATATACAGCCTCCATCTTCAGGATAAAACTGAGGATGTCAGGAAGTGGACATTTTGCATAGCATAAGGAGAAGGATCAACCACAGCTAAGGCATGGGGAGGGGATACAAAGAATGTTCAAGCCAATAGGAAAGAGCCCTAAACAAAGGGATCAGAAAGGAAGGTCAAGGCAGGAGACAGGAAAACCTTATTCTGCAAGACGCCAGAATCCGACCGTTCTTCAAGGTAAGGGTGGACTTCAAAATGGGCACTGTGAAGAAACATGAGCTGTACACGGAAAAGACTGTGGTTAGTGCGGAAAAGTTAAGGTAAGAGGAGAGAAGCAAAATGGAATAAAGACAGAGAAATGAAGGTGATCAGGCTGCCAATACGTAAGGGGCATACGACAAAGCACTCGGCAACATCTTGGAGGAATGGCGGTGACAGAAGGACTGTGAGAGGGATGAAGTTATGCTTAGCAATGAACGTTAGGAATGGAATGTAAATATTTGGAAAGAAGCTTACGTGAACAAGGCAACCAACAGATAATGGGATTTAAGAATGAAGAATAAGAAGAAATGGAAAGCAATGGGAGTCGTGGGGAATGATGTTGGAGAGAAAGGTCCTGAGGAGGTACAATATTTTAGACACTGTTCATGCTTTAGCACAATCCAATCCGTTGTGGCATTAATCAATAAGTTTTTCCTAACAATCATTCAAGTGCGTGTTATTAAAGAACTAATAACTGTGCTGTGTTTGCATGATCAAAATACCGCAACCCTTCAACATCAGAATAAATTGAACGAATTTATAGGTAACGTACGAGGCGCGTCCACAAAGTAAGTTTCCCACTCGTCCCACAGCTAGCAAACCTTATATTGCGCGAAGCGACTGTGCGTACGTGATAGAGCAATGACGTAGCATGGCGCATGCACTAACGGCACTTCCTGTCCGGTCAGCGTCAGCGTTTTGAGAATGACAGAGAGGCGGAGATGGTTGTCACACAGTGGTTCCAATCCCAGGCGGCCGACTTCTACGACACAGGTATTCAAAAGTTGGTCCCCCGGTATGACCAATGTCTCAATTCCGGTGGCGAATATGTTGAAAAATAGCTGGACACTTGCTGTATCTGTTGCAATAAATATTTCCATGAAATTGTGTTTTGTTTCTGTAAACGGCCCCAGGAAAACTTACTTTGTAGACCAGCCTCGAAATATGATTACCAGTGTTTAGGAGTTGTGACAAATAGCAGAGCATTGCAAAATGTTTTTCTGACTTATGACATGACAAGATAAACACACACACCAGATGTGAAGGTTAAATCGCGTTACAAAAATAAATATTTTACGTGTATTAGAGGAACATATAACAAATACAAATGAAAATATATATATATTTACCTTTATATCCTGCTATGGATGAGATAATGGCTGAAAATATACCACTTAATTGGTTATTCATATTTTAATTGATTATTTTAAATAAACCAACAACATGACTGCACATAATTATATTATTAAAAGTCTAGTTTACTTCATTTTTGGTGAAATTACACTTTCCTTTTTTGAGTCATCACTCTAGTTTACACAGGAGAAAGTGTTTTTAATACACATCACAAGCAGGTTTTTCATTATACAATACAGTCCTGCTCATCTGGCCTTCAGTTATCCGACGTGCCATGTCGGAACGCTACATTTTATCAGCAGTCGACTCGGCATGCAGTGGAATGATTCACACTCCCCCAAGCGCCTTCTACATTTTGTGTGTTCAATTGCTTTAGTGTGGTTTTGTTACTGGCTTCGATTACGTGATCACATTTGTGCCTTAGTACCACTAATTTCTCATAAAGTACTGATTTTTCATTGACATGTCTAGTGAAAAGAGAGAAAAAGTGGTTGTTTACACGAAACAAAATCCTGAAGCCTTACAAAGACTAGATAAAGGTGAAACGATTCAGAAAGTTAGAAATTGAGTTGATATATACCGCCGTCTTTTTCATTAGTTTTTCACATTATCCAAAAATTATCTGACCATCATTTGGTCGGATAATCAGGACTGTACTGTATTTTATTCTGATCGAGCCTCCGCTCCTCTTTGTCTTCTGCTGACCAGAATAATTTAGCAATATGTACGCTTTGTATGTGAAAGCTACGCAATGGCGAATGACTCTAATTTTAACTTGAATTATCTCACCTGCAAATAGTACGGCCACATCAGAGTGAGGACTGTCGAAACTCCAAAATAAGACAGGAGGATAATGGCAAGGGATGCAATTATAGCAATCGGGATTGCTTTCTGAGGGTTTCTCACCTCTTCACCTGCAGAACACACAGAAAAACTGTCAGTATATCAAACTCTGGAGAAAAAGTTGTCAGTGGAACCACTGTTCCGGAGAATTTGACGTAAATACGTCTATACGGAAAGGAAGTTTATATATTGGCTTTATTCTAAATATTATTATAAATGTAATGTAAGGTAACTATGTAGGTAACCATTGTTGTTTATTTGTTGATAAAACAGATGACGTTTCCAAGGTAACATAACAATGAAGTTACACTTTTTCGTTTACCTTTTTCGTAACACTTTTTCGTTACATTTTTGCCGAATGACACTGACCCTAAAATATAGACGTATTTACGTCAAAAAAAAAAGTATCTTTGTCCAATTTCCTGAATCAAGTAGAGAGATCATTATATTGAAACTACTTGACTACTAATTTCTAAATTTACACTTTTCAGGTTAGGAGTTGGTCGCAAGGCTAACAACCTTGCACCGTAAAAAGGGAGATGTTTCGAAACATCGATCAAAGCCTCGGACAGACGGACCTAACAGGAGGACTGAATGGAAGAGAAGAATCGAGGAGGCCATGGACCGAATACGGACCTGAGAGCCATAGAAGAAGATACATATCATGTACTTATAAGATAATTTTGTCCCACAAAGCAGTAAACGGTAAACAAGTGGTTCAATAAATAACAAATAAAATCACTTCCTCTGGTTGTAGCATTAATAATGTAAGGAAACATTGATGCTTACAGGTTTCAGCAGAATATGAGAATTGGAAGTACCTGTGGTAGCTACACAGTCGAAACCAACAAAGCCAAAGAAGCAGGTGGCAGCTCCTTTTATGGCACCGCTGACACCAAAAGGGAAAAATCCCCCTTCCCCCGCTGCCTCTCGTTTATCAATATCAATGTCTTCTTTCTTTATTTTCCAGTTCTTTGGGTCAGCTACAAGAAAATATTAACGACAAGTTTTACAATTATTTTTAACAAGGTTTTCCAAAGGCATAGAACAAGGTGAAGTTGCCTCAGTGCTTGGAGTTGTTCATAATATGAACAAGGCATCTTAGTTTTTCTTATTATCTTGGCGAATTCCATGTCGAACGAACATCCAAAATTTCAATTTTTATGCCAAAGCAATTTAAAATTTTGTTTCAATTGGGTGACAGTATAAACCAAGGATTGTGAACCATTTTGAGGTTATGTACCAAAATTTAAAATTAAATATTTTTCAGTTCGTTTATCATGCCAATAACTTTCAGCAGGTTTTTAATAATTTCTATTTCTATGGCATCATAATGTATTTCAAATATAGTATTATTTTTGGGAGAAATTTACTGTAGAATCTTATGCTGTTAAATCAGGTTTCTAACTTGTCCTCTTCAAAGCCACAACAGTAGTACCGCTTTCATTGGTAAGTCTATTTTTAGAACCAGATTTCACAAAATTCATTATATAAAGTATATTTTTCAAAAATATATTCAAATGTAACATATTTTCAGACGCAGACCCTTTTAAAAATTCTTATTTCTTCAGTGCACTTACTCAATTCAACAAAATTTTCACATCAAATTGAAATTATGTTAATTCCATTTCAAAGTTACTTAAAACAACACGACCGCTTAAATCTTCTTGACTTCCAATGTAAGGGCATGAGAATACTTTAAAAAACTTCGCTGTTTCTTCAAAACGTAAGAAATCCAACAACAGCAAAGCCTTAGTGGCCACAAAATGATAATGCTCACCTTTGAATGATCCAGCAAAGATAACGAACAGAACAACACCAATATTTACTATTGTAAACAAGTTGTTTACTGAAGATGATTCCTTCACACCAAGTGCAAGGGCAACTGAAACATACGGAATTAGCCAATGGACCATAAAAAATAAAATTAACAGTTTTCATTTAAATTGTTGCTACATTCAGTAATGCAGAAAGGGCCAGAAGGTCATTCTTTTTAATTCCCTTGCAGGTCTTGATATTTCTGCACTATGACATCATCATCATCATCAGAAGAAGAAGAAGAAGAAGAAGGAGACGAAGGAGGAGGAGAAGAAGGAGAAGGAGAAGAAGGAGGGGGAGGAGGAGGAGGAGGAGGAGAAGAAGGAGGAGGAGGAGGAGGAGGAGGACGAGGAGGACGAGGACGAGGAGGACGAGGAGGAGGAGGACGAGGACGAGGAGGACGAGGAGGAGGAGGACGAGGACGAGGAGGACGAGGAGGAGGAGGACGAGGACGAGGAGGACGAGGAGGAGGAGGACGAGGACGAGGAGGACGAGGAGGAGGAGGACGAGGACGAGGAGGACGAGGAGGAGGAGGACGAGGACGAGGAGGACGAGGAGGAGGAGGACGAGGACGAGGAGGACGAGGAGGAGGAGGACGAGGACGAGGAGGACGAGGAGGAGGAGGACGAGGACGAGGAGGACGAGGAGGAGGAGGACGAGGACGAGGAGGACGAGGAGGAGGAGGACGAGGACGAGGAGGACGAGGAGGAGGAGGACGAGGACGAGGAGGACGAGGAGGAGGAGGACGAGGACGAGGAGGACGAGGAGGAGGAGGACGAGGACGAGGAGGACGAGGAGGAGGAGGACGAGGACGAGGAGGACGAGGAGGAGGAGGACGAGGACGAGGAGGACGAGGAGGAGGAGGACGAGGACGAGGAGGACGAGGAGGAGGAGGACGAGGACGAGGAGGACGAGGAGGAGGAGGACGAGGACGAGGAGGACGAGGAGGAGGAGGACGAGGACGAGGAGGACGAGGAGGAGGAGGACGAGGACGAGGAGGACGAGGAGGAGGAGGACGAGGACGAGGAGGACGAGGAGGAGGAGGACGAGGACGAGGAGGACGAGGAGGAGGAGGACGAGGACGAGGAGGACGAGGAGGAGGAGGACGAGGACGAGGAGGACGAGGAGGAGGAGGACGAGGACGAGGAGGACGAGGAGGAGGAGGACGAGGACGAGGAGGACGAGGAGGAGGAGGACGAGGACGAGGAGGACGAGGAGGAGGAGGACGAGGACGAGGAGGACGAGGAGGAGGAGGACGAGGACGAGGAGGACGAGGAGGAGGAGGACGAGGACGAGGAGGACGAGGAGGAGGAGGACGAGGACGAGGAGGACGAGGAGGAGGAGGACGAGGACGAGGAGGACGAGGAGGAGGAGGACGAGGACGAGGAGGACGAGGAGGAGGAGGACGAGGACGAGGAGGACGAGGAGGAGGAGGACGAGGACGAGGAGGACGAGGAGGAGGAGGACGAGGACGAGGAGGACGAGGAGGAGGAGGACGAGGACGAGGAGGACGAGGAGGAGGAGGACGAGGAGGACGAGGAGGAGGAGGAGGAGAAGAAGAAGGAGAAGAAGATGATTATTATTCCTTAATCCCCCCACATTTCAAATTTGTCCCATGCCTTTTCTTAATCTCTGCTTCATACACTACATCCACTAATTCGTGTACATTTGTGACATTACGCAGGTGTAGTCACAAGAGTAAACCAAATGCAATTTTCTTCTGATACAGAACAAATTGGAAATGAACATCTGTCTGAATCCTGTGGTACTCATTTAGGAATATTTCACATGAGGCTGAGGTTGAAACTACTAAGTAATATAAGAGAGAGACTTGACTGCATTCGATGTAGCGAGACAAGTCTAAATATTTCCTTCTTAGTTATATACCTCAAACATTTATAAAATGGCTGATAAATACCTGCTAAAATGACCGATATCAGAAATGCAAACATGTCAAAGTATGGTGAGAGTGCAAGCGAACTTGTACCCACTGGCATGGTCTCTCGAAATGTTTCTGCCATCGTTTCGTTGAGCAGAGAATCCAGATATCTGCTCAACCCTCTCGCAACACTTGCAGAACCTGAGTACGAAGAAGCATGGAAAATAATCACAAGTATTATGGTTATCTAACAACAACAATCATAAAGCAATTCAAACTTTTACAGTCCTTATTTTCAAATTTTCCTCACTTAACTTCCTTTCTTTGAAACATTAACTCTCAGTTATTTACGTTCTATTTGAATAGGTATTAGTAACTTACCTATTACATATTCTAGAATGAGATTCCATCCAATGATGAAGGCTACAAATTCACCCACACAAACGTAACTGTAGACGTACGCCGACCCCGCTCGAGGAACCCTTGCCCCAAATTCTGCGTAACACAACCCTAAAATAAAGCAATCAATTGTGCCACACAATATCAATAGAACTCAACGTATATTTACATTGTTTTCCATAATGCAATTTTCCCCACCCACCCACAATATGCAGTTCTTAAAGATCCCTTTGAAGCCGAAGATCGTCTGAATATTATTTATGAATTCAGTCCGTACCGCGAAGAAAACCCTACACCTCACCATTACGAAAATCAGCTGGTTAACCCTTTGAAGCCGAAGCTCGTCTTCATAATATTTACGAATCCAGACCGTACCGCGAAGAAAACACTTCACTTAACCATTAGAAGTCGAATCAGGCGGTACCACATAAGATTTAACAAAAGAACATCCCGGTCAAAGCATTAATCACGTGTTTCATTTACGCGTGATGGCCGTCAACTGTCTACGCGCATGCGCAGTACTGCAAATTAAGCAGATGGCAATAGCGGAAGTTACTGTTACTGCACTATCAAGAGCGTTTTATCAGGAATATTTTAAAAAAAATTTCAGTAATCCTTCAAATAAATGAGGGGGGAATTTAGGGCTTTTATATGGACACAAGTGTCAATGAGGGAAATTATTCAAAGATGATTGTCAATGCTAAAGGATTTGTAACACTGAAATGAATAAATATGAACTTCCTATGTTAATTCTGTTGAAACAATTTGCCTACAATACCTGCAAATACAGATGCAATGGCTGCTATCAGGAAGGAGAGCACCACAGCTGGACCTGCAATGTTCTTAGAAACATTTCCTGCGAGAACGTACACGCCAAGCCCCAGTGTACTCCCCACGCCCAATGCGGTAAGATCGAAAGTGTTCAGCACACGGGCTAACTCAGAATTGCCTAGCGTGAGGGAATCGAGCACCTTACGTCGACCCAGAGCATTCCAGCTCCATCCACTCTTCAGTCCCTTCATGGTTAAGGCAAGGTGCCTTATCCAGTCCCCCGCTCACCACTGTGGACCTGCGGGTACAAAACACAGCTCCAATGTAATGCCAGAACAAGAGAATCTGTGGTTTTAAGCAACAGATTTGAAAGAAATCCATTAAAAATTGTATATCTGAACATTTGGAATGATTTGGCCTTGCCTGAGTATGATAATTCACTTCAAATCCTATCCCTGAGTCTCCCAAATTACCTCTTTACTTCGAGTTTTCTGACCAAAACTTACCAGTTCTCATATCCATTATTCGTGCTACCCGGCCATCCTTCGTCATTAACCTGACAATACACAGTGATTTTTTTTTAAAACACAAGGGTACAAAAATGAAATCAGAATCAGGTCCACCACCATGTAATAGACTTTCTTAAATTTCCCCGTGTTGCTAGGCCGTTGTTCACGCCAGTTGCCCAAAAGCTGTGCAGGTGCACAGACGAGCAGAACACATTACTCCTGCTGATGGAGAATCGTTCGCAATAAGGCAGTAATACACGAAATGGCAACAACAATGCGGGAAGCAGGAAGTGTTTATCTGTGACAATAGCTCATCGAGTGACAAAACAGTTGAAACCACAGCAGTATCGATTTAAAACAAAGCAACAGCTAGATGCGACTACAACAATCGATTGTTGCTACCGATTAATAAGTTCACGCGTAGTAATGAGAATTGCGTTATACTAGAGTGAAGAGTACAAATTGCGAAGTTCCTAGTTACGTAATTTTTACACACGCGCGTTACTTCCTCTCTCTCTCTCTCTCTCTCTCTCTCTCGTTCTCTCAAGTTCAAATATTTTCCTCAACACTTTAACCTCAAAACCACTTAGGTCGAGAGACCAAGTTTTACGGTTATATAAAACAGCAGTTAAAATTATAGTTCAGTATTCAGGGTTCTAGACGGCAGACAGAAAGATAACAGATTCTGATCCGAATAGCAACAAACGGTCCATTACTTTAATCTGTTCTGAAGTTCGTGAATGTAAATGTATCCATGCGCCATTGTACCTAATATGGATGTCAACAGCTGAATTATATGGAATGGTGAAACTCCGATAAACACGTTGAATCCTGAGAGGAGTTTTGAAAGAATTTAATTCAGATTTCAGACCAACAATGGACAGGCACCTGACACTTTTTTTCGCACAAGACTTCAAACTATTGTAAATGGGTCAGCCACTTTTAAGTGCGTTTCGAATTTCATTACATTGCTACCAACAGCATTCAAACTAACTCCTTTCCAGATTCGGGCACTTCTGTAGTCTGCGAGGGAGGCTTCTGTGCAACAAATAACCTGAAAGCGAGGGGCAATTGGCCACGGTGAAGCCATGATAGGTCTGTAAACCAATGATAAATTTTATTTTCAAACAAAACACAAAAGTCAAGGTTAGCCACAGAAACAGATGATTCACTTTTCTGTTCCTCTGACTATAGAGACGGAAGCGAGAACGAGAATGGGAGGGAAATTCTCGCGGCTTGTGTTGTGCTCCACAAACTGGGGAAGACAGGCCAGCCAATTGATAACACTAAGACACAGACGACTTCTTCAGGGCACATGACTCACCAACAGACTGACAGAACAAAGTCGAATAAACAAGAAAGCTTGCGTTATCTTAGCGAAAAAACGTAGAATAGTTAAAAAAAAAATTAAATGTCTCATTAAAGCGGCAGGTCCAGGGATCCCAACAATCGGACATTCTTTACGTTCAATAAAACAAGTTTCTCTCGAACCTCGCGTTACAACAAACGAATTAAATCTCTTCATTTACACCAGTGCTGCTGAGCACGGTCACGGTTAAAACTAAATTGGTTTTTTCGATTTCCGCAGGCAAATTCCGGGATACCAACCTAAATTATCATCATTCATAAATCATTCTCCCACTCGACGCCGCGTCTTCTGAGCTACCGACGCAAAAATGTATCAGTGTCGAACTGTGATCCGCAGAACTCTGCGAGTTCCGTGAGAAATGATCGGTAACCACGGCGGCCGGGGTTCGCATTCCACGTGGACAAAGCGTGATTCAGGTCACCGCTTATTTTTATACACGTTGAAGAATGATATTAGTAATTGAAATGAATACGTGTGAGTAATAAGAATAATATATTGTTTGAAAAACCTTGAAAATTATTTAATAAACACAGGGAACGTCATGTTTAAGATATGACGCACGATAATGCACGGGCGAGTTAGTCACCCGGGAATCAACAATGGTCGGCGCAGTCACACAAATCCGAGATAAGATAAGGCACTGACAATTGAAGTCGTGGAATATTATTTGAAGTGAAAGTTTTGCATAGATTATATCTCAGAGTATCTACTTTATCTGCTTTTTAAGTGCGTTGAACGCTCACGTTCTGAGTCATTGAGAGATGAATGTAATTAGGGCACTCGTGGTCTTATCAGGGCGATCTCAACGTCACATGCGAAAGCCCACTTAGATACTGTTTTAAAACCAGCATAGTCTGGTATAATTCACAACTGAGAATACAAGCATATTTACTTTTCGTATTATTTATTTATTTATTTAGTGTTCTGTCTGACGACAGGTCCATATGAACAGGATCCTTCCATCCTTTTCTCGGACTGGGACCTGTTCATATACGTTCTTGGCAGATGATCCAAAAGTGGTTTGCCATAGCCTTCTTCTGTGTGTGAATGGAGTAATTATTGGGATGCCACGGAGAAACCGGGGAAGACCCCGGAGGAAAACTCCGTGTTGCCTAGACCACGGCCTTGCCATATTACCTCAAAACAATGTCTGAATAAGTAATCTTGTCATCAAACGACAGCAACAGTGGAGTAAATGACAGAAACACGCTCTAAATTCCCCATGCCTAGGTTATCAGATATTAAGATATCTGCTCTTCAGGTCATCTGTTCCAGTCTGAGAAATATAATCAGACGACATCAAGCGCTCATAGATAATACTTCTCCGAATAAGTGCAAGTACAAAAACGCTTAGGTGCGCTCTTATCCTGAGATATTTTGTAGATTTTCTGAGTTTCGTCCGGGCAGTTGCTGGGATAGTATCTTAAATCAGGCCACGGCCGCTTCCTTCCATGTCTCTACCACTTCATTATTCATTAATCGCCCTGCCATTTGGCTAAAGAGGTTGAAAGGACCATAAGCAGAAGATATGCTCTCATCTCTCTCAGGAATAAAGATTTGTAAGATGATTCGACGGTGTCATTAAATAAGCCACGAGTACATGAATAAAAGTTCAAGGCTGTAATGTCAGATATTTCTGTTAGGCAATATTTGTGTGCAGTTTTCTTCATCTAATTCCATTCATTGAATTTCTTATTCACAGTTGTTGAATTTTTAAATTGTCTACGTCTGTCATATTCTGTTAGAACAGAGTGCGTCGTGAGATAAGATAACGTGTCCATTGAAAGCGTCTGTTTCAGACGAGCGATAGCATTTGGCAGGTCACGCGTCATCTCTGTAAAGCGCCGATCCCCATCTTGGGTCGTCCGATGTTCCTTGACGTGCGTACGTCGTGTGGCTCTCCCGACTAACTAAACATTTCAGGCAGTCGTAAAGTTGTCACTTTGTGTCCAATTTCCGAGCGAAGTGTTACATTTTCTCTACGACTGTACAGAATATATAAAAACCTCACATTATATTAGCACAGTAGCCAAGTATGACGTCTTTAACCAAACCGGAGACTCCAGCAACTCGCTAATAGAAATTTAAAAAAGGAACTGTTAATTGATCTAACGACTGGACGGTAAAATGTACGTCTATTTTGCTTTAATAACTAGCCACGTGTACCAACCTTTAAATTGTAGCATTGAAATGCCAGTAGGAGGTTTGTCAGCGATAAATGCGTAACGGCTAGTTTGTGTTCAGGTAAAATTAATTAAAACCATGAATCGTTAGTTTTATTATTTACCTTCAGTAAATGAGATTACTCAGCGCTGATCTCGTGGCTGTTATGTGGGTCTCTTTCTGGACGTACACAAATTAAAAACCGCGGAAACATAAGTCATATGTCACGGTTGGTAATAGTGGAAACAAATGCCTGCGATTACCAATCTCGCTGTTTACGAGATCTAGCTATCTGCGCTCACGTCTGTAAATGCCAACCTTCTGGGATATTGCACCGTGTAGTGTCGTAATAAAACATTTGGATTATCAGTTAACTTTTCAGTCTTGTTTCAAATGTGGATATATTTTTCCCTAAATCAATTTTCCGATGTACATTTAGAGAATGTGGAGCGAATTCTTATGGCTCAGGATATGAACCTGTAATTAACCTTCAGTTTCAATGAAAGGCGGGAAATTTCTTGACTTGATGAGCGTACTGTTAGCCTGTCAAGGACTCTGCTCCATGGCGTTGGTTGGTTCGTTTGTTCGTTAGTTAGACGTGTAGTCTTGTATATGATGACTGACGTTTCGAATAAAATCCTACATTATACGTTGATGTCAGCAGGGCGACCGACGGAATTACAAATGCAACAATGGAAGAAAGTACAGCAATTGTATTCAAAGCCATTGTTGCAGTTACATGATCTGAACTCGTTGCAGCGTGGTTTAAATCCAGTTAAGACATCTGACAGGTGTGAAAGTTTTTTTCTATTATTTTTTTAATTACTTCTTGCAATTTACCAGATCTCTTTTGAAGGAACACCGATATTTCTTCTCTTCGTTTCAACGTCCTGTAGAAAGCTAACTTCTGAACGAAGCAGAAATAAATTCAATTCAGCCCAAACTTCTTCTTCTCGTGATGGTCTACTTCAAACGTTGTGGAATGCGTGGCGCTGCCTTGCATATGACCAACAATTCTGACAAATGCACGGAACGCTTTGTTAAGATTTAATGGCGAGAGTAATAAGGCAGATGTTTCAAGAACACAGTTAAATCCAAAGGAGAGAATTTCATCGGTTAGAACGCTGGTCTTGTAATCCTGGGGTCTCGGGTTCGATTCCCGGCGGCGCCCGAATTTATAACTTGTGTTGGGCAAGGCCGTGGTCTAGGCAACACGGAGTTTTCCTCCGTGGCATCCCAACAATTACTCCATTCACACACAGAAGAAGGCAATGGCAAACCACTGCTGGATCATCTGCCAAGAACGTATATGAACAAGTCCCAGTCCGAGAAAAGGATGGAAGAAGGATCCTGTTCATATGGACCTGACCTGTCGTCA